CCCCGCCCCCAATGCTCCATCCTGCCCCAGCTCACCTGTTAGGCGGCTCCAGGTGCGATTGCCGTCTCCGTCTCCGTCTCGCAGCGCCTGCCTCTCTGACACGGCCCTCTTGATCTCGTCCAGCACCAGGTTGAGTTCCTTGGAGCGCTTGAGGCTCTCCTGCTCAGCCGCGTGCAGACGGTCCCGCAGCGCCAGGAACTCCCGCTGGTAAACGTCCACCACGTCGCCTGAGGGCGGTAGGCACGCCGTCACCAGGGGGGGGGGGCCTAGAGCCGTCCTACCGCCCCTTTTGTGTACCCCCCGCACACGGCTGAGTACCCATCTGTGCAATAGCCCATCTACATCTGTTCTCGTGCCTGCCACACGCGAGCTATCTGGAGTTACGTAAAGTCACACTGACTCTCATGCTCGGGGGAGAAAAGCCCCAGTTTGTTTCTTACCCCCAGTTATTTTCTCCTTTGAGGAGGCATCGGAAGTGGGAGGGCAGCAGGATCACTTCCAGCCTTAGGTAAGGCAATCCTAAGCAGGGTCTGGAACAGCCTCAGACCAAATCCTTTCTGCCCATTGGCTTGCAAAACCTCCTCTCACTTCTTGTATTGTAGCATGTGCTCCTTCCAGGGGGTGGGACACCCAGGGCCCCATCCAGGGCACAAGGACCCAGTCCTTCCTTCCTCAAGGGGCTCCTCACCCCCTACCTTCACAGATGAGCTCATAGGCAACCCCATCCCCAAGACTCTCTGGGGACAGCTAGCCTCCCTGGATCACTCCTCCCATCCTCCAAGTAGGACTGAGCCTGGGCACACGGTCTGTGACAGTTTGTCCCCAAGTACCCATTCTTCACTGTCATGATCGTCACTGTTTGCTGGCATTGCACTGGATTCACTGTCTCACAGCAGCCCCAGGGAGTGGCTGCTACAGTTACAGCACCCCACACAGCCCCCTTACTCAGGGGACAAGCTCTGAACTCCCTGATGCCTGGTCTCTGGAGACCTGTGCTAGGCCTCGACCACCTTGAAGGGTCGGCATGCCACCCGAGGGGGACCCGTGTCAGAAACTACTCGTCCAGCTGGCAATGGCTGAGCCTGGGCATTAAGGGTGTAGACTGGTGGGACAGCACACAGGCAGGGCTACCTGACAGTGGAGGAGAATCCCTGGGATGCCAAGCTCCTGGCTCCACTGGTTTGGCAGGGCCCAGTGAGCAAGAATGAGATAAAAAACATCCTTGTGGCTGGATGCCAGCAGTTCCCGTCAGCTGTGCACTCACGGCCTTTGCTTGTCTAGCCTTTGCCCTCTTTATTTGCCATCACGCACACCTCCTTTTCCTTGTCTACTGTCTATGCTTCTGCACATGCTGTTTCTATTGCCTGGAATACCTTTTGTCTTCTGGGCCGAATGAAAACCCAGGTAGCCTTCAGGGCCTTGTTTCCAAGTCTCCAAGTCTAGGAAGCCTTCCGGAACTCCCCTCATACCCCCAGGCAGCTCTTCTGTTCATTGATCCTGGTGGGTTCACAGCCCCCAGAGTGCCCTGCGATGGCATTGCTCCCTCCTCACCCCCAGCCCTGTACACCAAAGGTCATGTTTGAGGCAAAGTTCAGTAACCTTAGGACATACCCACTTCCACAGCCCTGGCAGAGGGCCAGAGGGCCAAGTCCCAGGAGAATAGGAGGGGCAGCCCCAGGCAGGAGAGGGGTATGGAGGAGAGGAGCCAAGTGGATCCTCCCTGATGCACCTCAATAGCTTGCCTCTCAATCTCCCCACACTGGGCCTCACCCAGGGCTAAAGGCTGAGGCCACACAGAGCCAGGACAGCCCTGTGGTGGGGAGAAGGGAGGAGTCAGGTTACCAGATCTGTGAGGCTGCACACTAGGCTCCGGGGCTGGATTACCTTGGAAACCTGACCCTTGGACGTGGAGCTGGCCACCCCAACACTCATCCACCCAGCAATGGGCGGCACCAGGGCACAGGGAGCATCCTCTTCTTGGCAGTAGCTGATGGGGAGGGGGCACTGGAGATGCTGAGGCCTTCAGATCCCCAAAGAGGGAGTTCAGGGCCAGGTGGATGTGACAGGTTCACCTCCCTCCTGCTTGGATGCTGAGTGCATGCCCACCTGCCTGTGCCCCTCCCCTACTGCCCACCTGTGCAGTGGAGCTACTACTCCTCTAAGAGGCAGCCCTTGTGCCATGGCCCCATCCAGAGCAGCCCCCTGCAGTGGGGTCACTCTGTGAAGTTGGGGGAGGAGCAGGAGGGCACACCCACCTCTGACTCCAGACCCTGTTCTCCACCCTGGCCTTCTCTGTTCTTTAAATAGGCCATGCTGGGCCGGCCCGTGGCTCACTCGGGAGAGTGTGGTGTTGATAACACCAAGGCCCCGGGTTCGGATCCCATATAGGTATGGCCGGTTCGCTCACTGGGTGAGCGTGGTGCTGACAGCACCAAGTCAAGGGTTAAGATCCCCTTACCGGTCATCTTTAAAAAAAAATAATAAGGGCCGAGCCCGTAGCGCACTCGGGAGGGTGCGGCGCTGGGAGCGCAGCAGTGCTCCCGCTGCGGGTTCGGATCCTATATAGGGATGACCGGTGCGCTCACAGCGCTTACTGGCTGAGTATGGTGCGGCCGGTCTCAAAAAGGACAAAAAAAAAAAATAATAATAATAAAATAAATAAATAAATAGGCCACACTTTGTTTGAGTGTCCCAGGTGGACAGGCCAAGTGTACAACGGTGGGCAATGCTGTCCAAATCACCCTGGCCTCCCTTCCCCAGGGCCCCCCTTTTCCCCCTGGTCTCAAGCTTCCTCTGTTCACCTGGAGTTGATGGGTCCCATGGATGCCTGGGTCCGGCTTCTGCCCACACCAACCCTTCTGTCATTTCCCTGAATACTGCAGGACCTGTCTCTCAGTTGCCCGCCCACCCTTGCTCCTGCTCTGCCTGCTGTCTGCCAGGTCCCTGGTTTCTGATTGCGGCTTCACTGTCCTGGCTTGTCAAAGCCTGAAACTCAGGCTCTGGGGGCTGGGCCTTTGCCAGAGGTCTGCAGGGCCATCCCAGCACCCCCAACCTTTGTGGGCTGAGGGTCTGGACTGAAGTGATGAGTGGGCTGGGAGACGGCTCAAGGCTAAGAAGGTCAAGACCTGGGGAGACCCGGCCTCTGTGGGGGGATGGCGCAGGTCAGAGGTTTGTAGGAGCTGGGACTGGAGAGACTTTGGCTTCTCCTTTTATCCACACCTTCCTGCTCCAGAGAGGCTGGGAGGAGCTGGCCCTGGGAAGGACTGCAGCTGTCCAACGGCCACATCACTGAGAACTAGGAGGGCAGCAGCAAGGCCTGGAGGTTTTCTCACCCCTCTGCCTGAAGGCAGAGTAATCAGGACCCCTGAGGCCCACAAACCAACAATCCCCCACTTCTCTCTTGGTGGAGGAAACAGATTCAAGAGCCCAGCCAGGGCATGACCTTTGCACCCTGTACTTAGGGAAGGGGAAACAGGTTCAGAGGGACACAGGCAGTTGCCAGGCCCAGCCAAAGTTCTGCTGTTAACCTGCAGGTGTTCACCTCCTCTCCAAGTCCTGCATTCTCCCAGGAGTCAAGGAGGGTGTGCATTGTTGCTGAAGTCCAGGCCCAGAGAGAGGACCACCTAGCCACTGGGAAGGGCTGTGTGGCTGAGGCCCAGGGTCGGCACCTGCCTCATCCGCCACCTCCCCCTCTAGTCTGCCTCTCTGGGGATTGATCCTCAGCAGGAACTTGGCTGAGGGCTACAGTTTCAGTGCTGGCAGAGCTGCTTCACAAATTTCATCAAGGGTGGATACAAAATTGGGCTCCAAACCCTTCTCCAGGGTCCATCTTGCCAAGGTCTAAGGGTCCTTCCCAGGCTTGACCCTGTGCTTCCTCAATGCCACCTGCTCCTGCTGTCTCCTTCCTCTCTGGCTCCCTGCCTACCACCTTCCTTCCCTGCAGATTCTGGTTCCTTTGCCCTTCCCCTAAGTATTGGGTCCTCTCCTCAGCACCCCACTGCAAACTGGAAGGCAGGATCCATCTGGCTTCAGACTGGCTTAGTCTGGCTTCACCAGGGGCTTAATACAGAGGTGTCTATGTGTGAGAAAGAAAAGGGTTCACATGATTTATAGCCTAGATTTCTAGCTTCTCTTCAGGCCTCCGAAGACCTGGTCCTACAGGGCCCCCAAAGAGACGCTGACAGCCCAGGACACAGGGCAGGCCCAGGTCAACGCCCCCATTTCCAAGCCTCACAGGCTCCTGGGCTTCCATCCCCCAGGGGGAAAGACCCCTGCATCTAAGCCCCTGCTCTTCTTTGATGGGGGATGCTTGCCTGCTCCCCAGGCCCTGTGTGCCAGCCCCCTAGATGTCACCCCTCAGGCACAGTGAGCCCTAGATGGAGCCCCTTGTATCTCCCTTACTCTGCTGTTCCTGGAGACTGGCTCCCAGTGGAGAGAAGGCATCCTGAGGGGGGTGGGGGGACCATGTTGCACGTGCTGCCATTGGCCTGAGGGTATGAGGCTGCTGCAGGAGGCAGACAGGCACTGTAGCCTGGCTGAGGGCAGGGTGCAGGGGGCCTTATCACCCTACCCACAATTACAGGAATCTGCCCCACCCTTTCAGATATAGGCTCACCTAAGCCTCCGTGCCAGTGTGCTTTTGTGGCTACTCTCCCCCAGGTGACATACCCTACCTACAGAGAACTGTGTCCCAGCTATCCATCCCCTGATAACACACTCCACCCACAAAGCCTCTGCCCCAGCCATGTCCTCCCGTGGCAGGCCCTATTTGTCTCCCCTCAGGGTCCCTGGGTTATGACTCTCTGGTCCTAGAGGCCCAGCAGCCCAGGCCTCCACCCCAAAGGGACAACTGCAGTAGATAGGCTGGGCTGGGCTGGCAGGAGCTTGGTAGAACTAGTTGGGGCTTGGAGGGTCAGGAATGCTCCGGGTCCTCCCCCAGCCTCATTTAGTGTGGAGTTGCAGAACAGGGCAGCAGCTGGTAAGAGGAAGGCAGAGGGTCAGCAGGCCTCAGCCTGATCCTGCTTAGGCCTCCTGCAGGAAGGCCGGGAGGCAGGCAGGAAGCAGCATTTCCCTGCACCTCCTGTGCTTCAGGCTGGCTGGACAAGGGCCTCTGAAAGCCGCAGACCTCACTCAGCCCAAACCAGCCCTCCCCCCAGCAAGCGACTTCAACCAGAGCTGGGGCCTGCGGCCACCCTCCAGACTCAGGGGGCCATGGTGGGGAACTGGCCAGCCTGACCAAGCTTCGGGTGCACCTGTGTGCATGGAAGCAGGGGGTGGTGGACCAATGACACCACACAAAGGAAGTTATCCAGTAGAAGGGGCTGGGCTGGCTCCTCATGAGGCCCTCCACTCACTCCCCACAGGCCAGAAGCCACAGGATGTCTTCCTGGGCACCCAGGTACCTGCGGAGGAGTCCTGGGACCAGATGTCATGGAGGAGCACTGCAGGGGCCCCAGGGAACTGCATGGGGAGAGGCAGCATCCCACTGGGCTGGGGCCTAGAGGTGGGAGTGCGGTGGGTGGCGTGGGGTGGAGGGTCTGGCTGTCACCTGTTTCAGTAACACTGTTCCTGCTCCTGCCCAGGCGCCTGGAGCTGGCACCGTAGGACCACCTGGTCATAGCTACCTGTGTGACCTTGTGTCTCTGCCCCTCTCTGAGAACTCCATGGGTCCTCATCTCTTCAGTGGGAGTGACCATCCCAGCATCGGGACAACTGTGCCCACGGAGGCCGGTCCCGAGCACCACACGGGGAACCGGCTGCCTCTGGGCCCGCCGTCCCGGCCCATGCCGGAGGAGAATTTCGTTATTCCAGAAGCAAACAAGTGGGGGCGAGGATGGGAGGGGCGTCCGCCCGCGCTCCCGGGCCGGGAAGGGGCGCCTGTGTCGGCTTCCGGCCGCCTCCCGCGGCCCCTGCCCCGACCCCGCGCCGGCCGCAGACGCCCAGGTGCGCCCCGCTG